TTTCCATTCTTTGTTGCTGCAGAACTGTCAGGTTCTTCTGAGTTAATTGAAGCAGAGTGAAACCCAAATAAAACAGCAGGATGCAATCATCCTTTTGATTTTGGGGTAGTTTGGAAGCGTTTGAATGTTCTTAGTCTGCAAAAAGCTGTGCAGCACAGCAGCCTTATCTGCAGAAGTAGCCTATCTTCTCTCTGCAGATGTGGGTTTTTTTCTTAAATCTGAAATCCAACAATATGTCATGAAGCTCCCTGAGTTTCCAATGTTGGTGCCAGTCAGAAGAAATCGAAGGCAGGAGCAATTCGTAGTTTACTGTTTCATAACATATTTCTACTAACAGCCTCAGGGTTTCTCTTAGCAGTGTTTTAGTATTCTGCATTCTGCAAAAATGGTTTTTGTTATCCATGACCACTCTATAACCAGTAGAAATAAAAGTTACCTGCAAATTCATGTTCTGAAGATAAATCTAAGTTACCAAGTTAGTGGTGTTGCAAACTCAGATGACTTGTTCAGAGACATGTTTCAGTGCAGGCAAGCATAAATACTTTGTACCCATCTTAAGCAATTTTGTTTTTCTCCTTTCCTAATGGAATTATGAATTAGTACCATTTTCTTGAATTTGACACGTCCATAAACAAATCTGTTGGCAGGACATACTTTATTTTTGAGAGAACAAAAATGTATTCCCAGCAGCGCAATAGCCTGGCACTGACACTTAAGTATTTTCCAGAGGCCAGTTTTATTGTTTTAGCAGGGTGATAACAAGGTTGATGTAATGGTTTTGTTTATTATTTATTTATCAACTGAGTTTGTTCATTCTATGAAAAATGGCCAAGTTGGCAAGACTGAAAAATCTTCCTCTCCACTTGGTAGAAGGGCTCTAACTGTTGAGGTGTGTAGCCTCAGTGCTGTGTTGTCTCTTTTTTCTTTTCTGAGTTTTCTGTATTTTATGTATGTATTTAAAGGGTCCTTTATACGCATCAGGGTATTTTGGGCAGGAAGGATGATAACAGTCATAGTGGACAAAGCATGCTGTACCTAGACTGACTTTTCAGACCTCGTCTGGATAATGGGTTGACAAAAAACAATGATCTAAGTGCTGTGCAGAGTCACATGA